TCCTCTTCCTGGTGATGCAGCATTTCGACCTAGATAGCGTTTCTGACAACGAACTCCTGATTGATGAAAAAACTCAGACAATTTACGGGAGCTTCCCGAAAACAAACCATTTTGGCAAACTTCCCGAAGAACTCATTTAACACAGAGGTGAATGGAAGCGCAAAAATGGGAGTTTCCCGAAAATTGACGTCAGGAGCAACGCAGTTAGGAACTTCCCGAGGATTTCCTCGGGAAGTATCTATAAATGCGAAACTTTCCCAAAGCTTTCAAGAAAAGGGAATTTTCCGAGAGCTTCGCGGTATTTCGTAATAGCGCTACGTTCATTCTAATGACTATCTGATTTAGCGCAAGTGGGGTACTTGTAGTGTTTCTTTTCTATCGTCCTCGTTTTATCCCGTAAATTGGCTGGCTTCTCTTTTTTTCATGTGGCATTTATTCAAATGTATTTGCATCACTTGTCGCTAAGGGTGAAGTAACCTCTTACTTGTTACTTTGCACATCATAATTACCGCCCTCTGTCGCAGTGCGAGGTGTGAAGCTATGACCCAGAGCCAAAAGAAGCAAATAGATGATCCGGCTATCGAATTACCTTAATATAGTGCGACCATCCATTGTACAGCTCTTTGCGAGTGCGGCTGTTATGATCCACCATGTAATAAAAAAATGACTCCTTTTGACTTTACTTTTACTCATGACTTTTACGTATTTCGAAATCCTTACAATGTGACTTTGTGCTGTTTTGTATATAAAGAGGAAAACATGAATTTAGGCAAGTCTTTTTCAGCGTCTCATTCTCCTTGCTTTCTTTTCTGTATTTCGTAACAATGCACTTGCGCTATTTCTAGTCCGCATTTGCCAATATTGCTAGTCTGTCGATTTGTTATAGATGTGAAAGTTTAGCAATTCAAATTGTGTAAATAGGAGTGTTATCTTAGGTAGTATTTAGGCTCTGGTTCCTAGTTGAGTGCTTGTAATTTCGATCTTTTCTCACCCTACTAGTGAAGCAGTTATGTGAAGGTGCTATATGTGCGTGGCTTCGGGACCGCACCGCGTTTTCCCGCGATTTGATGAATTTTTAAACTGCGCTTACGATTCTTTGCATATTAGATTTCTTCCTTCCTCTTTTCTAGCGTGTTTTTTTTTCAGAGCAATGGCATTAACTGAATATAGTCGCGACGAACAAGTAGAGGCTTCTACTTTGAGGGCACAAGTCGACTTTCAGGTGAGCGTGATTGCCCTTTATTTGACACTAATTATGCTTCAACTCACTTCTATGATAATCTTCCACCATAAGCTTCAGCCATGATAATCTCAAGAAACACCACATAATTAAGCATAGTTCACCATTCAAGGTAGTTAGGATCAAAAATTAACCAAAGCCAATTATGCTTATCATAGGAACTAAACCTCAACGAGCTTCGCCGGCTACACAGCTCCGAGTAGAGTCAAACACAAGACTGCGCTCGTCATCAGTGACCTTCTACGTGTGGTCTTCAAACAGGTTGGCCATTCATATTCATAATTTTCACAAATGAACATGTAAATATAATAAAAAAATCTAGTTAAGTAAATATGAGTGGACTACAGCGAAATTTGTAGGCTTGTGGACCAGATCCCTCAGATATATGGAATTTCGCACATCGTATAGTTAGCACACTCAACGGTGCGAAACTAGTCATGTAAGAAGTTCTCATTCAAATCATTTTTTTAGATTTCATATTGGATGCGCTTAGCCTCGGCAACGAGGATTTGGAGGGATACAGATCGAATGCGATAAGAAGCTTGCGCACTAGGTGCGTTGGTGTTTCGTAAGCAGTCTTTACCTACTTAAATGATTTAGTTTCTGGATCTCCTTGGGTACATCCGATGAAGAAAAAAAATTAAGAAAGAAAAAAAAAGAAAAAAAGCGAGAAAAAATTCAATTATCTGCTAGAGCAAAAAACTTCTACTGCGGCCAAATCGGGACCTGTATCGCAGAGCCACTATAAGTTTTCCAAAATCGTCTTTTACCTCCAAATTCAGTTTTACAGCGAGGATGTCCGTTAATATCGCCTCAACCAAGGAAAACTTGTGCCTTCAAAGGTACAAACTCAGTCTCAGTTGTTTTTATACTAAAAATTTGTTTTCCAGAAATACAAGGCTATGCAAGTCGGATTTGGTAGAGAGGACAAGGCAAGTATGACGAAGTCAGAATGGAAGAGGAAAGCGCTACACAGTAGTGGAATTTGATCCTGTCGCTGTCCTGTTTGGTCCTGATGCTTAATTTCTGATTCATCATAAGTCTTCTCATGTAACATCGTGCCTTTGCCTCATTAGTTAAGCATTTTTTCTCATTAATCACTGCTTCATTTACTTACCCCCGCTTACTTCTATATTCAGTACATGCTTATTTCATATCAAATATGATACTCTTACGCATTACTCGGGCACTATTGTAATTCGATCTTTTAAGAACTTGAAGAAATCCTCCCATTCCCATCCGTCGATATGTTATATCTACTGCTATAACAATAAATGATGGAGCATATCTTTTTTTGCGTATAACTACCACTAGTGCTCCACCCTTACTACTACACTACTTTGAGTAGCTGTACTAAGGGTTGTATCTGTTTATGCGTATAACTACTACTAGTGCTCCACCCTTACTACTACACTACTTTGAGTAGCTGTACTAAGGGTGCGGCTTTATGAAGTAGCAGGATTCTTCATCAAGATTCGGTACAGCTACGCAGAGCCAATCTGAAGCCCTCAGGAAGTTCTGTAGATTAGTTCTCGGGAGATTCCCCACTTCTTGCGAACTCCCCGAGGACTTTTTTGCAAACTTCCCGAGCGCTTCAAGGGAACTTCCGCAAGTGACCCGAGGAAAGTTCCCTCACAGACCTCGGGAAGTTCCCATGGATTGTCTGAGAAGATAGGTTATTCTTAAATCGACGGGTTTGACTGCGATCTTCGCGCACATAGGAGCATGAAACACTCATACAAAGAGGCATCACCCCAACGCTCAGCTCAGTCACTTTCAGTATCTAAATACTATTACATATAAGCGAAAAAAGCATTTGAATAGAGAGGAAAACCAGGAAAATGCGGTTGCTAGAAGTGCGCGCGTGTTGCGCATGGTCCCGTCATCGTCACGACTGAATGCCCTATGCTAAAGTTCGATTTTCTACGCCTATGAATGTGGACACCATAATGAAAGCTTTTCCCTAAATTCCTTCGTGTTTCATAAATTGAACACATAATGACTACATAAGGTCAGTTGGGATCGTTCCGGCAAGTCGTTTTATATCTCGCTAGTCAGAAGCACTAGAAGTATACTAGTCGACTGGACCCAAAGCTTTCCTGCTTAGGGCTGTCATACTTCGCCGAAAAAAGCCCAAAGAAGCCCGAAAAAGCCCAAAAAAGCCCGAAAAAGCCCAAAAAAGCTCGAAAAAGCCCAAAAAAGCCCAAAAAAGCCCAAAAAAGCCCAAAAGCGCCAGAAAGAGCCGGAACACTTCTTGCACGTTTTGGCGCTAAGGCATGTGTGTTGACTTCGCAATCGAGCCTTTTTGTCATTTTCTGTCGTCCGCGTGATAAGATAATGTCAGAATTCACCCAAAAGTTCGTTCCTAGATTCCGGCTCTTTCTAGCGCTTTCGGGCTTTTTTGAGCTTTTTGGGACTTTTTTGGGCGCTTTTGGGCTTTTTTGGCGAAGTATGACGGGTCCCTTAGATTGTTTCAATGACCATCAAAGTATTTTAAAGTGGCACATGATGCAACTCTCTACCTTCTCGTTCTACTCACTGGTGTTTTGAATATACTTATACCCAAAAGATCAAGAAGCGGTAAACACAAGATAAGCTGATTATTTTAACTTCCAGACTTCCTCCAAAGGGCCAAAACAATTTCTGGCAAAGATTCGAGCTCAAAAAGAAACATGCTGCACTCAAAAAAAAACATCCAAATAAAGCTTTTTCCTAAGGATTGCTCGATCACCACCTCGTATGTCTCCTTCGTATTTGCGCAGCTTCTCATCCGTAATACATACTGATCCTGGATACGTAGTGCATTTCGCATTCTTCGTACATGGAGTTCCTCTCTCATAAATACTCTGACCCTTGATTGGTTTTCTGAACGGAACAATTGCTGCAGCCTGTTTGACACATCCTGCTGCTTAAATAACAAGAACAACATATGTAATGGCAAGCGAAACGCCCAAAGTTGTCTTCCAGACAAAATATCGGAGAAAGAATAGACAATGAGAAGCAGTAGTTTTCAGGGGTGTTAGTAAGGAAGTGCCAGTCAAATATAAGATTTACAATTTTGCTGTGTGTTAATCCGGTCAATGCAAAAGTAATGCGCTTTTTGCTTGATTCGTATTCAATTCAATACCCTCACAATTATGAGAAGCGCGAATAAGGCTTACTACTGCATAGCGATTTTCTATTTTTTCTCTTTAATGCCTGAGTTTTCAGCGATGCGTTTAACACAAAATTGATCTTCAGTGTGTGTATATCAAATGTAGTTTATTTGGGTTTGCCCATTTGGGGTACTACAAGTAAAGATAAATCTGGTTTGGAAAAACCCATCATATTGCTAGTTTCGGTTTCTGAAATTGTGCGGAATGAATTAATCTCAAAGTGACAAAATAGGAACGTCGATGCATTCTGCTATGCTTTTCTTTTTTCGTTTAAGCTGTGCTTGATTATATTACCTACGTTACAACAGTATCTCACAGAACCTTTACCCAATAATTAAAACCAATTTTAAGAAGTATTAACAGCTCTCAAAGTCTTGCAAAACGCTCGTTATTTTCGTCCTCATGTATCAGCTTTTCCAGGCTGCGAATGCAAAAATAAATGTTATAGTAATGAGGAAAATGATGTCCAGCCAATAAAACACAACTCCAATAGTGATCAAAGTGTTTTTTCAGCCGATTTTGAAGTGCGGAAAGGATGTGACAGTCTAGCCCGATACTTAGATAGTCTACATCTAATTAGAACGTATTCGATTCTAGAGGGACACTTACACGTTGAAGATGCATGAGTAATGCATATTGCTTCCATCTGGCTTGTAAGCGCATGCCACTTTTGTAGCCTTTGCATTGACCATCTAAACTTTTTTCAAACGAAATCTTGCAAGTTTCAATTTGTGATAAAAACTAACACATGCTTTCGACATAGCTTGCATTAACTTACGTTAGCAAAGAAATCCAAACCATCCTTGTACGTTTGATTCTTATCGAGACCACCGGCATATGTCAATTCTTTAAGCCACTCATCTTTCGCCACCTTAGAATAGGCTTCAGCACCTGTTCCGACCGCTGCGGCTGCTTTAAATCTAAAAAAAATCAAACAAGGTGCTTTCAAGAATTTTTCAGAGTTAGCAAGCCATTTCTCAAGTACTTATTACGTCGTAGAACACCATTTTTTCTTCCGTTCACAATCTACTTTGAATTTGGAGGATGCGTTACAAAACGATGAGTGCCTGTCATACGTCGAGTATTTTTTATAAGCAGCACAGGGTGAAAGTCGGTAAGAACTGTTTTTTTCATAATGTCTGTCATAATCTTGCACCATGCTTCTTAGGATTCCTTTATACAACAAGACGCAGAGCCTGCCGCAGCACGCGGCAGCACGCCGCGGCACGCAGCGTCCTGCGGCGTGCGCTGCTGCAGTCGCAGTGAAAATATAAGCTCGCTCGCTGTGAAGGAACACTGTGCTCCGCAGCACGCCGCTTCCTGCGGCGTAGTATGAAGGAACCCTTAGGTTTCGTAATTTTTCTCGAATTCAATTGGAATCTGTTCCAAATTCTCTTGCAATGACCATACTGCACAAAGACTCCGTTTCAGCACAGTTTGCAGAAATGCCTGATATTTCTCTCTGGTTCTCTCGCACGGTTAACCATCTTCCTTTTTTAACATTCAACTGATGCGTCCAAAATACTTGAAGAAAACGAAGTGCTTATTCAAGATCCACTAGTAGTTGAAGTTTTACCATTTCTCGTAGCATCAAAGACTTAATGACTGGATACTGATTAGTGTTGTATTATTTGGTTTCATGAAAGCTAATCTTGACGCAAAGCTCATGAATGTACCACGTAAGTGCAAAAGTATTCCGTTTCTTGGACTGAACTGCATGTTCCGTGAGAAAAGATAAAGAAATTTAAGCAGTGTACGATGCAGGATTTTTTTTCTTCTTTTCAGCTTAGGGAGGAAGATAGAGACGATAGTTGGCGAGTGTCATTAACATTCTGTTACTCTCGCTTTTCCAGGAAATTTGGACTTTGAAATTTCTCCAGGCGGAAATTGAAACATTTTCTTGTTTTATGCTTTATTTGGATCAAGGAGTTGAACGATTTGTTTAGCTTGGAAATAAATTGCGGAAATAGGTTGGATTAAGCCAAGAAAGGATGCAAAGATGAAACTTCAGATATTTCACTTTTTTATTATAATAGCTTTATCGAATCGCACCTGTCATCGGGCTTCCACCAAACTTATTCCATCTACCAATTATTTAACTCTACTCAATTCTACTAGTCTAAAATTCGCGGTTTGTAAGAGAAGTAGTGCATGCGGCAATAGCGACTGGCACTGGCTATTGTTCCTCTTGCATTACACCCCTTTTCAGCAAGTGCGTGACTCCTCTGACGAATACTAAGGTAATCGCTTATGCTTACGACACTTCAATTTTATAAACTCCAACTTTTGCTAGTTCTTAGGATTTTTGGAACTAATGGAGGTACATCGATGGTCAGACGATGACGCAAACTTTTGCAAATTAATGCAATCTTTCATATTTCTTCAGCTTCTTTCTTAGGGCCGCATGCACTAACCTCCCCGCTGGGGAGGGGATCGCAGCTTAAAAGAAAGCTTTATATTTCGAAACTCCAGATACCTGGATTTCATGTTGGGTACCTATCCGTACGTATTCCTACTACCCTTCGCTATGAACATGTTGAAGAGGAGCGAGAAGCTGTACGAACCGTATTTTCCAGCTTTTGTATGATCCCTGATGATCCCTGGCGCTTGTCTTTAAAGTCATTTTTCTTTCTCCGAAGTCAACGAAAACCTTCCAAAGTTGTACTGAACATCCAACACAACAGTGCTAAGCATGTTGCTGATGAGAACAAATGAGTTTTTGAAAAGTCGAATTCTTCGGTAAACCTCAAATTTCGACCTGTGGATCATCGAAAATTTCATGACTTCAAAACATCATTTGTTCTTATCAGCAACATGCTTATCACTGGTGGTTAAGATAATCTGCACAACTTTGGAGGTTTTTCCTTAACTTCGGAGAAAAAAAAACGACTTTAAATAAAAGCTCCGGGGATCATTAGGGATTATACGAAAACTGGAAAATGCGGTTTGTACAGCTTCTCGCTCCTGTCCAACATTTTCATAGTGAAGGATAGTAGGAATACTTACGGATAGGCACACAACGTGAAATCCAGGTATCTGGAGTTTCGAAATATAAAGCTTTCTTTTAAGCTGCGATCCCCTCCCCGCGGGGATGTTAGTGCATGCGGCCCTTAGAGTTTTACTGATTGTGTAGAAGTCCCCTATTCTGAACAAATCGCACGAGGCATAACTGCATCAAACAACTAAATCTTCAACATTTTGAAGCTTCAGTAAAATTATTTTATCACTAAGCCTAATGGGTAAGTGAGCAAATATCTCTTCAAAATAGGTAGATATTGAATTCCGGGTTACGACAGTGCGCAGACATCTGTGGCCGTATTCATCAACGAACCGTGGGAGTAAATCCTACCCTCAAGGCTAGGTTTTACCCTCAAAATTCATTGGCCGTATTCATCAACGGACCCTTGAGGGTAGGTAGGGATTACCCTCTAGAAGCGACTAACCCGTATCGACCAACGAATCTTAGAGGCAAATCTACCCTTGAGAGCAAACCTTACCCCCAAAAAGCGACTAACCCGTACTCACGAACATGGCTCTCCAGGATAAATTTAACGCTGGCATAGAGTAATACTAAATTCACTCTAACACTTTGTACGAACATAAAGTGATCTCTCGATGCACTTCTTAGTCCTTGCGAAACTGTTTTGACCATAAACACATATTTACAGATACTACTATCCCAAACTTCATATGACCTCATTTCGTGTTTTCTTTTAATGTTATCATCCATTATTATTTTCGGAAGAGTTGATGTAGTGAAAGATTAGTTTTTAACAAAGTACATGTCCAAACAAGGACTTCGTTAGTATGGAGCTCAACAACTCGAAAGATTTTTGTAATATGGAACTTTAGTTCAATCAGTGTCAAATTATTCTCATAACTTTAGTCAAATTTTGGTCCATCAATATACTCGTTCAGCAAATGATATGGTACATGATCAAACTATCCTAGCTTAATCAGATGAGCTTGGAACTAACCAACAAAGTACTAAAAAAATCGTCCTAATTTTTGTGATACGATTAGACAAGACGAAAAGAGGACTCAGGTAAGTAATATGTTGTTGTCAAAACAGTGCCGTTGGAACTGTGTGTGCATTGAGAGATCACTTCATGTTCGTACGAAGTGCCAGGGTAAATTTAATCTTTCTATGCTGAGGTTAAAATTACCCGGTTGTGTCACGTTCATTAATACGGGTTAATCACTTTTTGGGGGTAAAATTTACTCTCAAGTTTAGGATTTACCCTCAGAGACTACCCTGTGCTTGGTGAAGGTTTATGTTTTTGGGGTAAAACTTACCTTCAAAAGTAAGGTTATCCTCAGATTTACCCTCAGGGCCCGGGCGATCGTTTGAGCTGTGTTTGAGCAAGTTTTCTATTTAGCAAATTATCAGCACATTCGTTGAGATTGCAGGATGCTTAAATTTTTCAAAAAAAAAAACAGGGACAGATCTGTATGCTGGTATGTCGACCCGGGTAGTACCATCTGATTCAACTGGCTTGGCATCGGCAAAGGCGGGGCTTCATGACCTAATTAAGGCTAGGCAATGAACAGAGAGCACTCGCGCGAGAGAGAAGCAGGTGCGTCGCGGGCGCGAGCGGTCTTTTAGATCACAAAACCCCGCCATAATGGTGCCAAGAGTTGAATCAAAGGTTACTATGGTTTATTTTACTTTAGGTTTCGACACAGCCATCTTCGGAGGTCTATGATCACTGCGGTGTTAGTGAAGAAGTCAGCTGCACAAAGAACACCGATGATATTGCTATTCATACCATAATTATTTGTTACTGACATTAACATTATCATTTGATTTTTTTATAACACATAGATCAACTGCTCCAGATGCCCAGGTTCAAAGAAGAAAGAAACTCAAGCTTAACAAGGAGAGGATTTTTGAGGTGATAGGTGCCACTACGCTGTAGTTGACAAAAGAAGACTGCAAACGTTGCAACACTGACGCTAACACACAAGATACACCTTAACTTCACTTTTCAAGCTCAAGCAATAAAACGCAGGAGAGGACCCATTTAACCGTTAACACTTCAAGCGTTTGGTTACTATGAGGTTGTCCTCCTTATAAATAATTCAAGCTGTTCTTGGTTTCTGATAGACTTAAGGTACATTTGATAAAGCAGATAAAGCTCTACAAAACGGCTGCCAAGGATCCGCTTAAAGGCAGCGGCTCGGCAGATTGACCTACCTCAGATTTTGACACAGATGAATAGGAGGCCCTCCAAGTGAACCAAAACAGCAACTCCGCGCCGAAAATCTGAACTCTGCAAGCCAGGAGGGCGGCCCAAGCGCCGCTCTCCTTCCTCCTTTCGCTCCTCTAACACCTTGTTCGGACGAGTATTCTCCGCTAGACGGCGCGGGACCCCCCAATCGCTTCCCCGCATTGTGCATGCTATACAAAGCCAAAATTACAGGCAGCAGGGTCTTCGTGCCAGGGCCTCCCGACTTTCCTTTGAAATTCTCGGCCGAGCTGCCTTTTGGAAATTGGAAAAAGACGCCCCGAAAAAAGCCTTTTCACCCCTTTCAAAGCTCAGATTCGGGATCTACAGGTCGAGAAGGCCCAAAACATGCAAAAACATGGAAATGCAAAATCTGCCGAGACGCTGCCTTTAAGTCGCATTTCAGGTAAAGTTTAAAGCCAAAATCGAAAAAAAATTTGTCACCTGATCGAAATTTTGCGAGGAAAAATTTGCTTTTGTTAGATGTTTCCGCGCATAGAAAGCAAGAAAAAATACTCCAAAAATAGGAAACTCTGCCCCCAGCCCCCCCCCCCCCACACTTGTATGCTACAAGTTTTACTAACAAGGGAATGGTCAGCAAACGAAGTGGCCAAATTAAGCAAACTGCATACCATTAGATTCAGCTTAAAACGCTCACTCTAAATCTGTCCTCCTTATCTGCAGAGCAATTTTGTGGATGATATTACACGCCGTCAAAGGCATTATTTCGCTAAGATGTGCATGTAAAGGGCAGACTTGGCCGTACAAGGCCATTCTTTGCTCAGTGTTGAACCAAAACATGCAAGTAGCTCACTTCATAAGGCCCGTATCTAGAGGTGAGCTAAAAGAGCAATAATGTGCCTAATTTCGCAATTTTCGTGTGATTTTTTCGTACCAAAGCTTCTCATAACTTCGCCTACAAAGGCGCTCTGCATATATGGAAAACAGATTTGCAATCAGCGTTCTATGCTGCATCGAACGTATGCAGCTTGTTTGGATTGGCCACTTCGACTTCTGGCCATTCCCTTGTAAGTATAATCTTAAAACTTTACTGTACGTTTCCTTATAATCGAGAAATACAGGTTTTGCACGAAGAAAAAAGTGACATCTTGACATTTTCGGACCATTTTGTTTCTCATTTTGAGCCCCGCAAAAACCCACCAAATACATTTTTTGGTACTACTAAGGGTCTACTATACAAAAACCATGCTGGAATTCCGTAAGTATTTTCTGGAAGAAGATCCGATTTTTAGAGTAGCTGAAAAAATTTGATTTTTGACTCCAATTTTACTTGGTTTATAGCTCAGGTGGACCTTTGATGGTCTTTTTGTAAAGCTTGCTTCTCTCTACCGAGTGGTACCCTAAGTCTACTAGAAAAAACAAAAATAGCTTAATTTATTTGTAAATGGAGTTAACATTCAGGACAACCTAGAATTTCAGAAACTCTGTAGACATATTGATACTAATACGTTCAAATGCTTAGAGCAGTCGAGAATCTGATTGTTAAAGTATTTAGCTAATTCCTTTCAAAATAGTCAGAAAAGGCTAAACAGGAGGAAGGCGAGAGCGCCATGAACTCCGCTAACCAATAAAATGGGAGCATTGCAACTGCTTGAAGTCCTTTTTTATAGCAAACTTACATGACATAGTTTTGCGCATATTTCTTGGTCAAAGTCATTTTCGCCTTCGCCGGATTAATGGCGTTTGCAACTTTATTCTCCATATTGCAGTCCCAAAACTGAAACACTCAGCAGTCATCACCTTGCTAATAAAAAACAAACTTAATGAAACTTTCAGACCTGTACCAAGAAATTGTATATGACAGTGCTGTTAGTGGTAAAATCAAGCAAATTATCATGAAGAATTTCCCGACAAACCACTGCTGGCGATTCGGGGTATGAAAAAACTCATAACGTCCGTACCTCATAGGAAACGTGCTCAGACTGCTACTCCCAGCGCACCTTTACGTTATCTAAAAAAAAACGGCAGGTCGCTTAAAAGGAGCAGCGATCTCTGGGCCCATCGTCAAAATAATGGCAAGTTCAATCGTGGCAAGTTTTGTTAAATGAAACTGGAAAGCTAAAATGAAGTAATATATTGGAGGCGTGTTGCTTGGAAAAATACGTTTTTTGCGTAGATGATCTTGGTCATTTCTGATTCAAACTTCATTCAACAATTGACACAACACACTTTTTTGTGTCACATTACCCTATCAAAAATCACAATGAAGTAAAGGGAGAGAATAAGCACGTTTTACTTGCTTCATTATCCTTAAAAACGCGCAATTTTTGTTTTCTTGGGTTACGTCTGTCACGAAGTTTGCAAAGTGGGTTACAGCAAAGGTTTTAGGCTGAAATTTCGGTCGTAGCATCTTATCAGCATGTGTGTAAACATGCAAAAGCACAAGTCGATCAAATAAGAGGAAACTTCAGAAAGTATGCGTCAAATGGATCCACACAACTTTTGGCCTAAAGTGGATTGGAGTCGGACAGTCGGACAGTCGGACATTTTGCCAAGTCAGAAGTTTCTCTAGCAAGTAGCTCCGCAAACCACTGACTTCAGCTCATAAAGTGAGCAAAAAGTCTATGTTTACGCCAATAAGGAGTCTACGATGATGGTAGATTTGCAAATTTTCACGTAAAGTTTGGGAAGATTTTTGCACATAAATGTAATCCACGGTTGTCGTTGTCCTTATGGCGGCATCTAGCCATATTGAGTTCAGTAAGTGATTTGAAATAATCCGACGCCAAAAAGAAACTATAGTAAAAGTGTCCTATTTATAGAGGTTTCGTCTGACAATTTGAGAATTTTCAGTTGCCCTAATTTCACGAGTATAGGACGGGGATTTTTTTCTAGAATCGAACAGCACAACACGCCGAAAGACTTCGAGACCAAAGAACTATACACAGTGCTGCTATTGCCGCACCAGGTTCTCCGAAACACAACGAGGCGACTGGGCGGCTCGCCTAAAAAATCGAAAAAGATGCGTCCTACATTCGTGAAATTATGATAGACGTAGCATGGTGGGGGGCGACTATCAGATTATAACAGATTAGGTAATAGACGCATATTTTCAATTATTCTTCGGCACAAAGGTTTCTTTTGCGAAGTTACCAATCATACAATACCGCTCGTAATTTGTGAAAAGACTCTTAACTCAGGCGGAGGACGCCGTACTGACCTCAGGTGGCCGACACCTGAGTTCGCAAAAATTTGGGTTTCATCGCCATATCTCAGTTCAGAGTGAGTAAATTCCAAATCCAAAAACATCATCTGACTCAGCTTGGCGAGTGCCCAGTCTCTAGAGTGCGGCGGGATTACGGTAAGCAGTCAACACAGATCCTCTCGAAATATTAGCTCCAATGGACTGCCTAAGGTAATCCTAGCGTGCCCTACAGAAGGGACTCGTCAAGTTGAGTCAAATGATGTTTTTGGATTCAGAATCCACGGACTCTGAACTGAAATATGGCGACGCACGGCAGCGGCCACCCCTGCTCGGCGACCACTGTCAATTCTTTTCACAAATTACGAGCGGTATTGTATATGAATTTTGAAATGAGTATTTTTTGCAGTTTACTAGTGGACCAATAATCTAAAAATGCTATTTGCAAGAGCGTTCGCTTCGGGACCGCCGCGCGGTTTCCCGCTGTTTGCACATTTTTGAATTGCGCTTACGATTCTGGGCCAAATCAGGATGACGAGTTTTCTCCTCGAGTTCGCTTATAGCAACGAGACAGTCTACTACTAGGTTTTCGAGAAAGTTCTATCGCAACTTTCTCAAAAATTCGTAACTTCTTGTTTCTTGTGTGATTTGCTTGTTTTCAGTCCTTAAAAGCGTGTTTTATGGTTTACATAAGAGTATCTTACTGTTGGAGGATTTCTACTAAGCATACATAGCATAGATAAAAGCGGTAAAAGAAAATTGTCCAAACTTTGATTTTTCTGAGTTTTGTTCTAAAAATATCCGAAACTTGCAATAAAAATCGGAGCAGTCGATGTCATAGGTTTTATTGCTTGCGCTTTCTGACTGGGCAAAGATTGTGATTGGTTGTTTCTGTTAAAATTATGGTTCTGGAGCAAGCACACAAAACAGCAAACTTGATTTTTTGGCATTTTTTTGAAAATCACAATTATTCACAGGAACAATCAATCAGCACCTTTGCTCAGTAGTAAGCAATAGAACCTATAAAATCGACGGCTTCAATTTTTATTGAGAGCTTCAGATTTTTCACGACCAAACCCAGGAAGATCAAAATTTGAGTTATTTTCTGCAATCGCTTTTGTCTATACAGTTTGTGCATACGTAGAGCATAACTTCCCCTTACATCGGAGTAGAGAGCAAAAAGTTATGAATTTTTGAAAGTAGTGCGAAAAAATTTGTGCCAGTGTAATATATCATACTGGGAATCCATGTCTGCCTTCGCTTTTGATTCCTTCGATTTCTCGCCTTTCTCGCCTGGAAGCCAGCGCTGTGCAGAGCCGCATCGGACGCGTCCTTCCGTATGAAATGTTTCAGCCTACATTCATTTGAACAGACTAGGTACGCAAGCAAAGCCTTCATATCGCGGGTGCATAGCTCCTACGTGGAGGAAATTATACGTATTGGCAAATTCTTATATATAAAGCCAAATGTCTGTCTGTATTTATGTCTGTCTTTCTGTGTGTACATGTGTGCGGAATAGAAACTATTATTTCTGAACCGATTTGGACCAAACTTGGCACACATACACTTCGGGACGGGGCGGGTGCCATAGGCTACTTTTCCTTACCGATCGATATCGATTTTATCGATTTTTCTCGATTTTTTTTGAGAGTTCACCTGCGGGGCCAGGAGTTGGCAAAGGGGAGCATGGCGATTCCGATTACAATTTTGTTTTCTGGAATTGTCCATTACATATCGATTTTATCGATTTTTGCAAAGTTCGAGCTATGGGGCTGGGAGTTGGCATAAGGGTTAATCGAGCATGCTGATTACGAATACAATATTAGTTTTTTGGTGTTACCTATTACTTTTATCGATTTTATCGATTTTTTTCAAAATTTGAGATGAAGGACTGTGAGTTGGCACAGGGGGGTAAGTATGCATGCTGATTTCGAAAACAACACCGGGAACAGGAAATGAAGTGTAGAAGTGGGCACAGGGAAAGGCTGTACAAGGATAGGAATGGGACCTTTATTACAGTGTTTTGACAGGGCCGAGCGGAGCCGGTAAGCAAGCTAGTGCATAATATTTCTCGACGTCAACTTAGCGATTTCTTTTGATAATAGCTGCATCCTTCTTCTTTTGAAGTGTTTTCTGTGACCCCGTTCTCTCTATCGCTTGGAATGCCATCTCCTGCAAACTTGTGAGATCTGCATTACCTTTGGAGAAAAACTTTCTCAGAAGTTTGGCTGATCACGCCCTTTCTCGCTGTAATTTAGGTAGCTTGCTGAAAGTTTTAGAATCTTGCCAAAAAGGGAAGGAAGTGGCTAGTTCCTTCTAATAATCTAAAGAGATTTTGAGTAAACCTAGAAAAATCACTGAGAATCTGAAATGCTAATATATTAGGATGAACGGTAAAAAAATGGGACACTACGAAATAAATGGAGATTTATCAAGAAAGAGAAGTGATTAGACATTTCGATTTTAATAGATATTAGAATATGTTATTGTTTTTCAGATAATATCTATATAAGGTCATTTACTTAATTAATAATTTTTATACTGGCTGAAATGCAAAGTTAATCACTTCGACAAATTATGAACTTTGAGCAGTATCTGCGCAGTGAAACATGTGAGACCACCCAAAGTACCACTGCTGGAATGGTTGGTGGGATAGTCACCAAACCCACAACGGCTTGGTGGCCTCAATTTCCAAAATCAGGAGATATGGCCATTAGCATCTTCGAGAACGAAGATACGCGTCATTCAATTCCTTGCAGGTGAACACATGTTTTCTGGGTAGGATCTGATAGAGCTTTTTGCGCTCTGTCCATCCATGTGCAGCTTGCCTCCGACTTTATCTATTTTCGGAAAATTTAGGGCAAAACATGATTTTTTGGTTTTTTATTGCGCCAAAATTAGCTACTTTTCAAGTTTTTTCGCTTTTTTTCTGAAATTGAAAAGAAGTCTTATGAATTTAACATATCATTTGAAAGAGCATGAAAAGCTCTTTCGAATGTTATGTCATATGCTCTACGACTTTACGCTATAGCAGCGCAAGATTGAGAATTGTTCCAAAAACCCTGTCTGAGTTCTTCACGGCGCCACGCGTACGGTTATGAGAGAGGAGCGGTAACGCGTTGCCAGAATAATAGGCGAAGGTCGATTATGTAAGCGACGTTTGAGTTGTAGTCTGCTTGTTGTCGGTGAGAACAAAAAACCTCAAAATGTAAAAAAAATCAAGCTGTCCCATTTTTTACCATCACCCTAATACATGTACATCGAGGACGGAAGTGCCGAGGCATTATTCAGCAAACCGGCAGAATGCCGTCTCCGGAGTAGACCCATCTCCAGCTACTATATAGAAGCAGCATGTAATGTGTGCGGAACAGCTGGTAGCTTAGTACGTTCTTCGCGTGTAAGTAGTTGGCAAACTGTAAGCCCTGTTCTATAACGGTCCACTGCAACGTCATAGCCTCCGGTCTAGTAAACCCTTGAGAGTAACCTTGATTGTTACAGCTGCGCTTGCTAATGATTTGTCGGGCTCCGCGCATCACTCACTGCAACTGTACGATTCCTCT